CTAAGGGAACTGCTGCCGGAGGGGCCCTTCTGGAACCCCCTCGTCCGAAAGCCGAAGCTCGGGAAGGCAGACGAGGATGAGGAGGAGAGGAAGGAGGAGGAGGAGGAGGAGGAGGAGGAGGAGGAGGAGGAGGAGGAGGAGGAGGAGGAGGAGGAGGAGGAGGAGACCTTAGACCTTAGACCAACTCATGGAATCCTGACTGTGCACCCTGCCGCACTGCACCACTGCCTGAACTCAAACTGCAATTCGACACGCACTAGGACCCTGAGGCGGGTCACTACGGACCCCACTTTACGCACTAAGGCGAGACCTTCGCTCACCCCGGCAGAGGCACTGGCCCCGTCTGACAGGCCAGCGGGCACGCAGCCCGTAAGAGGCCGTCAGCCCACAGGCTCAGGAAGCTCCTCTCCTCCCCCGCCCCCGCTCCGACCCACCACCCCGCCCCCTTCCTCTATCAAGCAACGAACGGCTACGAGCCAGCACTACAGTCGGGATAGGCGGCAGCCCAAGGTCACTGTATGTCGCAGCAGTTCGCCCAGGTCGGCCCAGCACATCTGGTGCCACCAATCCTCTCGAAATCAACTCTTGCAGCCGCGAGCTCGTACTCAAGCTCCATCGGACTTGTTCACCCAGACCATAAGCTCCAGCTTGATGGGCCCCCTCGGAGCTGAACCCAGCAGGAACTCTCCGCCCTCGGCCTCGATCACCGCCTCCAAGATTCGTGCCGCTTCCACCCCCATTGGTTTGTTGAAGTCCGTCCTCATCATGATGATACACCTGTTCTCCTCGCACAGAGGCTTGCACCTGAAGTACGGCACTGCCCCCCCAATCTCCTTCAGCGGAATCTCCTCCCTCATGTGCTGTGTCCACCATTCCTTGCTGCCCTGCTTGGGTGTCTTCTCGGCCTCCTCCGCAGGCCCCGCTGCAGGAGTTCGCGTGGCGCAATACTGCATCGCCGACACGAATATGCACATGCGTGGAGGACCCCTCGCTTCGAAGTCCTGCTCCACCCCCTCGGCCTGCTTGGCCCTCATGTCTTTGCTCTGGTCGTCATACTTCTTGCCTGACACAGCCAGGCGCGCTGGAAGCCCTCGATCGAAGGCGATGCCCCACCTGAGGAACACGACGCTCGCCACGTCCCCGAGCTCGCGCGTCACGGTGAGCAGCAGGCGCACGACCTGAGCCACGACCTTCGCCATGTCCTTGCCGCCGCCCTTGCCGCCGTCCTTCTTCGCCGTCTTCGCGCGGACTCCCGTCGCACTGCCTGCTGCTCCAACGCTGGGCGTCTCTGCATTGTCGCCCTCGCGCTTCTTGCCGCTGAAACACGATGGCATCGCAAGCTCCATCTTGGGCCGCTCTATGACGTGCACTATGTTCGGCACTGAATGGAGGCAACTTCCATGGAATACGCTCAGAAGCCAAATGGTTACATACATCAGGGAGAGCACAAGCTTCATAATCACATAATGGACACTTCGTTGATCGAGGCTGAAGTCCCCCCCCCCCCCCCCAGTGCCCACGGCCCAGTCGCACAACAACTGCTCCTCAGGATTGAGCCCAAGAGATGCCTCGAAGCTGTGATCTGACTCGAAAATATCTGCCCGCAGTGCGCACGTATGTTTGCCGGTGCGATCACATGTGCTAGGCTACGTACATTATGGTGAGCCCTGTAATGATTCATGAATGCTTTACGCGTGTGAAAAGCAGCCCCACACCAGCCCGTCTCTGCACTTGTTCTACATCTAAGCTGTGGACCCCCATCAAGAGCTGCTGGGGGTCTCCCAAGCCTTTCAGACGCCAGTAGGAAACCTGTTGGTGGGACCTGAACCCGAGACCCCGCAGCCCTGAGCACTCCCATATCTAGCATGCAAAAATCCTCCATCTCCTCCTTATTTATGAACGTGTTCATGCCATTAAGCAGCACATCGATCGCCTCGCTATCGACGGCACCTGCTGCAAACCCGAGATCGTGCGTCATCTGGCCCAGCCACGGGGGCGCTGCCTCAGATGGGGCCCCCTCGAGCAACTGCGGTGGGGAACCACGCTCTGCCTCGCCCCCTCCTAGTGACCTCCCGATGACTCGAGTCACGCGCCCGAATGTGGGGCCCCAGGTACCGCACGCAATCCTTGATTTTGCCCTGGGTGCCCGAGATACCTTTCCGAACCATCTGTCGAGCGCGATTTCCCTTGGACGCGAAGTACGTCAAAAACTCTTGCTTCCCTAAGTTCTGAACGTGCCCGAACGGCCGCAACACCGAATCGAAAACCTCGCCCATCTCACGAACCTTCCCGAATAAGTCCCTCAAGGTCATCTCGTCGGAGGCCACTACTGTTTTATTTACAACATCTGCGTCTTTCAAAAAAAAAAAAAAACTGAAGTCACTCTGGAAATCCTGCCATTTCGCCACCAAGAAGCGGGACATCGGGTCTGATCGACTCCACTGATAAGCCCATTGGAGCCCGAGAAAAAGTACCTAGGAACGCTGCCGCAGTGAAGGGCCCCCCATGACGCCGCCCTGGAACGGCTTGACCAACAGGGGGCCCCCTTTCCGCAGTTAATTCAACCATGCTATTCTCGTAACGTTGCTGGCAGAGGGCACGGCTCTCCACCGAGGTGGAGTGAGCGATAGTGATCTCTAATTCGGACCAGTCCGAGCTCCCAAAGGCACTTGTCATATCCTTGAGGCTCATCGCGAAAGATCGCCGAAGACGGCGCAATCGCCGGCAATTCACCTGGGCGATGGAAGTATCAGCCTCGCGCCTCATGTGGGCGACGAAGCCATGATCTTGTTGAGAGGGTACAATCTTCAACATCCTGGAATATAGCGCTTTTCCCAGAACAGGCAGCACGTGTACTACTCTTTTCCCTCGGGGACCATGTTGAGCACTTTTTGGAAGCCCTGCCCCTCGACTCCGATGCCAATATAGCGGCGCTGCCTGGAAGCGTCGAAACTTCGCGAGGCCCACTGAGAGGACCCACCAGAACCCAGGAACCTTGGGCATGGACGCGTCATAAGCTACTCCCTCTTTTTGCTGCGAGGCCCTCCAGTTCGGGAATAGTAGCTGACGCCAAAGTTCGAGAGGAGCACTGCCATCTGGAACGGCCCGCCTCTTCGGGGCCCTCTTGATGTAAGACCTAATCAACTACAAATCCTGCTGGGCAAGCTCCAATTCCTCCTCCGTTACGTCCCAGTCGCGGACCTCCCCCTCCCTCTCTGCCCGCCAAGCATCCCAGTCCGCCCCCATCCACCATCGTGCCTCCTTCACCCCCGGGAGCTTGCCGAACTCCGAGCCGCCCCTCCCGACTGGGAGGGGGCCCCTGTACCAGGCGCCCACCTCTATTCCTCGGGCCGATTCTGCAACGAGCTGCGCGCCTGGATAATGAGAGCGCTTCAGAAGTATACCTCCTGCGCCACTGCTCCGATGATTCTTCGATCAACTGAGGGCGAAGAGATCGCGCAGCACGACGACGCTCAGCAGAGAGTTCAGCGGAAAGAACGCGGAGCTCATCACCCACCTCCTGTGCGTCTGCTTCAGGCACGCACAGCTTTGAGCCACGAAGTCGAACTCGCTCCGCCAGTAGGTGGCGACGACGCTCAGCACTCTCCTTCTATCCTGGACTGGTACGACTAGATACAAACAAATGCGTTGCCCAGCAGTAGTGACCGCATCCTCCATACGTTCGAACAGCTCATCTGGGGATGCTTAATCTTTCAAGAAGACGAAAGGTAACTTGTCGATCTCTTCCTTCGCCGCGGTAAGCAAGTCTCGCCTGCACTTGCCACTCCGCAGTGACGTCACCATGAGATCGCGATTCCAGCCCGCGCGAGCCGAAGATGGTCCTCCAAGCAAGCCCGCGTTATCATAAGTCATCGTACACATGAATGGTATATGATCGCGAGGGGATTGTCCTCGAACTGCTTGCCATTTTGCCCCCAGCCCTTTCAGCGGGTAGCACCCTCTCACCAAATGTTGCATAGCCTCCGGATATATATATATATATATATATATATGACGTAATCAATGCGACCCGAAGCACCATCTGAACCGAACAAAGTTTGTTGTAGCTGGCCAGCCGTGTTGCCCGCCACCATGTAGTGAGACTCCATACATTCTCTGAGAAGTTGTCCTGCACCTCGAGAAAGCTGCTCCTGCGTGGGGACATCTATTACCGCCGTTGAATCAACATCTTCCCCTCATGGGGTCCACGGGACTGACCAATACCATCGTTGAGATCACAATATAGCAGCGGGGTACACCTATGTGGTAGTTCGCTCAGCACCCTTGAAATCCATGCCACCAAGAGACGCACTGTAGCAAAATACTGAGGCCGATGAGCGCGATACCTCGGGCGTGGAGGAAAATACACCACCATCGGACATATATATATATATATATATATATATTAATATAGGGCCGTTTTTTGCTCCGGCCGCCAGCGCTCTCCCTCTGGCCTCAGGGGGACTGACCCATGTTCCCATAATATTCGGCTCTCGAATATGACTACCAAATCCCAGTGCACACCCGCAGCTGTTGTTACTGTTCGGCGACTTGTAATACGGCGATTCCAAAACTAAACGCCCTGCACATCGTTGTCTAAGAACACGCAAACCCTGCTGCGGATGATCCACACACTTGGTCCCTGCCAAAACCACTGCGTCGAAATTTCTGGTCTCGCCCGTTATCTCACTCAAACGATCGCCGCTCGCCCACAGCGGGTTGAAGCACAGGAAGCGGAGAGAAGACATTGCATCCCCCCGCCGAAGGCCCCACCTCGCCCAACGAGTGGGAGACTCCACCAGGTTGTCATCCTGGCGGCGCGGCAAGCGGCGCCCTGTGCGCAAGCAGCTCGGACCGCTTGGAGGAGGAGGAGGAGGAGGAGGAGGAGGAGGAGGAGGAGGAGGAGGCGGCGTCTTCGTCGTCGGCGTCGGCGGCTGCGTCGTCGTCGTGGGCGGCGTCGTCGTCGTTGGTGGCGTCGTCGTCGTCGTCGTGCCAGGAGTGCCTGCTTCGGCTGGGCCGCCGGCGGCGGCGGGCGGATGCCGTTCGCGGGCCCGCGCGGCAGCGCCCCCGGAGGCCAGGGCGGCGCCGTGCACGTGGCGCTCGCGGGTGCGCCTGGGAGGGGGGGGCGACGAGATCTCTACGTCCTCCATGAAGGGGCCCTGGGAGAGACACAAATAGCAGGATTCCGAATCTTTTCCCATATAATCTGGGTTTTCGTCTGCCCCCCCCACTGCCCATCTTTTCCCATCTTTTCCTGGGAATCGACGATTACTTGAGTCTGTGTGTGTTTTCCCCTCTTGATTCAAAGGCTTCCAGCCAGGCTTAGGTCGGGCATGTCCCCCCACGGGCGGACTTTGGAAGACAGATCAAAAAGCCGAAATAGAAGCAAGCATGAGCCAAAGGGATCGCAGCATCGCCACCAGACGATGTTTCACCATGATTGAACCTGCCTCTCGTGGAGGGACATGCCCGAGGTACGGCCAGGCCCCTCCTGGGCCCAGGAGCGGTACACACGCCCTTCCCCTGCATGGCCCAGGCACGCCGGTCCTTGGCAGAGGGGCGGTGGATATGGAGGCATCATGCACCGCTCCGGAGTCCCAGGATGGGCCCGGCCAGGGGCGGTGGGAGTGTTCGAGCAGGGGATCGACTGCAGACCTCCTCCTCCTCCTCCTCCTCCTCCTCCTCCTCCTCCTCCTCATCCTCCAACTCCCTCCTCCTCTCCAACCTCCTTCTCCTCCTCCTCCTCCTCCTTCTCCTCCTTCTCCTCCTACTCTACACGCACGGCTGCTGCCCCCCAAAATTGACACTCTCGTCGAGTCCTGCGTCGAATGCTCACAGCTGTGCGAACATTCTACGAACTGTTGGGGTAGACAGATTCTGTAGTCGATCCACGACCCGAGACTTGCAGATATCGTCGCCCGAGCGCCTGGCACGGGGGTGAGCGTGGTGCCGCCGGACTCCTCCCAGCACCTGGGATTCGAAGAGCCCCCAGGCCCACGCGAGGCCAGACGACAGTGAGGGGCGAGCTACTAGTGAGCGTCCTCTTATTCGGCGTTTCGACATTGGGCGGAAGGGGGACGGAGGAGGGGGGGAGGGTCTGGCTCCGGACCTCTGCTTGGTGCGACTGTTTGCAACAGTGCGTCCAGTGGGGAGGCACCCTGCTCGAAGCAGGCGCCCAAAACAGCCAAGATCTACTCCATGGGGGCGGGTGCGAAGGCCCGCGCCGATCGGCAAGACAACGAATGAGAAAACGGGCACTCCCTCTCCCGCAAGCGTCCACGTGTTTCGGTGCCCCGGCCCTGCAGCCGATCGTGACGGCGGGCCATGTTGGACGTCGCTGGCCTCCGGGATGCAAGGCTGGCCCCGGGGCAGGGGCCGAGATCCCCGGGGGTGCGAGCAAAACTTCTGTCTATATCCACTGCAGTATGGAGCTTGGGGCTCCCTCCCCAAGAAACCCGAGGCGCACTGGATATGGATAAATTTGCCCCCTAGAGGCTCGATTTTTATCCATATCCAGTTCGCCTCGGCCTTGTGGCGCCGCTTCCAAAAAAGTCCAAAAGGCACTGGATATGGACATGAATCTTGTCCGCAGGGGGGGGGGGCCGTGCCACGGAGCGAGGTCCGAAGAGAGGGGCAGCCCCCACCCAGGACTCGCCGTGCGGGGGGATCGAGGCTCCCGGGGCGTCTCTGGGCGGCCTCCCGGTGGCGTCTCGTCGCCCGCGGCTGGGCTCCGTGTGGGATTCTGGTCCAGCGTGCCCCAGGTCGGGCGCAGCGGGGAAATTGTCAGCCCAACCCTCCATTGAGGGATGAAGAAACGGCGCTACCCTGGGTTACAAGTGCGTGGTCTGTACACCTCCTGGGGACCCCCAAAGCCTGGAGCCGCCAGGACGCGGCACATCACGCAGGGTTTACCCTGTCAGCCCACAGGAGTTTCAGCGCACAGCGCCTCGTAAACCAGGGTCGGGGCGTTTTATGATGCCCTTGACTTCAGGTGTCTGCAACGGAGCGAGGCGGAGGTGTGTCCTAGCTTTCGGCCTCCAGGAGCCCTCTGCGGTCTCCAGGGCCAGCGAGCAAAAACGATTCGGGGCGAAAACCTGGCCCAGGGGAAGGGGTCGGGGCTGCTGAGGCCCCTGCCTCTGATAAGATACAGGCGTCGGAAGTCTGGGTCGAGGGGGGCAGCCCAGAATTAGCCAGAGACGTACCCGCCCCATCTGCAACCAGTGGCAGCACCAACGGGCCCATCCAACACGAGTGAACATTTGAAAGGAGCATGCTCTCCGTTGTGAGATCTCTGCAGCGCACGCCCCGTAGGACCTATTCCTCTTCCTATATTTTTACAAGCCCGGGGGAGTGGGGGAAAAACCCTCCCCCCCCCAAAACCAGACCCCGGGATCTGGGGTTCTCGGGCTCCCTTGGACGTCCTTGGAAAAAGGTCACCCGGCTTTCTGGGTCTCCACAAACGCCTTGCCAGCAGACCCAGCGCGATCCGAGGGGTCATCGGAAAGGCTCAAGGGAGGCCCCAGGCCCCAGACACCACAAGAGCGCTCCAAGAGGGACTCGAATTGCGTCAGGACGGCCCAAAAGACCCCCAATGCACCCCAAAAAGCTTTCCAAAGGGTCCTTCAAAGCACACAAATCGCCCCATTCCCTCCGTACAACTTACAATTTTAGCAGATTCGCCTTTCGGATTTCATCAGCTTCCAAGACGGTTACAAAGCCCCCGAGATCGCCTCAAGACGCCCCAAAAAGCACCCAAGAAAGCTTCAAGACGGCCGAGAGCCGGGCCCCACGATCACCCACGAGAGCCCCAAGACAGCCCATAATGGAACCAAGAGGCCCCCCGAAGGGCTCCCAGCACAGACCCAAAAGGGCCATAGGAGGTCCCCGGAAGCAAGATGGGTCCAAAGGAGGCTCCAGCGGGCCCAAGCTCCCCAAGACGGCCCAAGAAGGCCCCAGGACGGCCCATGAAGGCGCCAAAACGGCCCACGAGGGCCCCGAAAACACCCCCACGATGTTTCCGAATGCCAACATGAAGACCCCCAAGGCACCCCAAAAAGCTTTCCAAGGGGCCTTCAAACCACAAAAATCGTCCCATTCCCTTCGTAAAACTTACAATTTAGCATATTCGCCTTTCGGATTTCATCAGCTTTCAAGACGGTTTCAAAGCCCCCGAGATCGCCTCAAGACGCTCCAAAAGGCCCCCAAGAAAGCTTCAAGACGGCCGAGCCGGGCCCCACGATCGCCCACGAGAGCCCCAAGACAGCCCATAATGGAACCAAGAGGCCCCCCAAGGGCTCCCAGCACAGACCCAAAAGGGCCATGGGAGGTCCCCGGAAGTGCCCAAGATGGGTCCAAAGGGGGCTCCAGCGGGCCCAAGCTCCCCAAGACGGCCCAAGAAGGCCCCAGGACGGCCCATGAAGGCGCCAAAACGGCCCACGAGGGCCCCGAAAACACCCCCACGATGTTTCCGAATGCCAACATTCATTGATTTTGCTCCCATGACATTTCACATTGTGACCCAGTCGTTGAGGGTCTCGTGGCATGCAGCGAAGATGCCCGAGGATGCCCCGTACGAGTTGCATATGCATGTTCATACCCTTACACCCATAGATTTGTATGTACATATGTACGCTGTATACACACATACAACCATGTAAATATATTGTATATACCTAGACATATATACGGAACGTGCATGCACGTGCGCGTGTATACATGCATGCGCGCATGTACGCACGCACGCCTTCCGCTTGCGTGCAGAACTCAAAAGACCAAGGTGCATGGCGCGCAGCGCCAATGCAGTCTTGTGTGTGTATGTATGTGTGTATATATATACATATATATAAGGCGAGGCCGAAGGAAAGCAATCGGAACTGGCAAGGGAAGGCAGCAGAACGGCGAACGTTACAACAGAGAGACGTCGACGCGACTGGCAGCATCCAGGGAGGGCGATGCCTGGCTGGGTCCGTGTCGGACGTCGCCCTGCGGTGGATGGTTTTCGACAATGTCTGCTGTTGGACGTCGTCTCTATGTTCTCCCGTTGCCTTCTCGGGCGTGCCAAGTATTGATGCCCACGGGGGGGCTTATGGCTCATGGAGCCTTTCTCGAGTTCCCCCCGGCAGCGCCTCTTGGGGCCGTGTAGGGTTTTTCTTAGATTGTTATTCGTTTTTGTCTTCGGTGTTTCTTGGGTTTGTTCTTGGGTTTGTCTTGGGTGTGTCTTGGGTGTTTCTTGTTTTTTTCTTTGGTTTTGCTTGGGTTGTTCTTGGGTGTGTCTTGGTTTGTTTCGGCTTGTTCTTGGGATTTGTTATTGGATGTGTCTTGGGTTTTTCGCTGATGTTTCTTGGGTTTTGCTTGGGTTCTTCTTGGGCTGTTTCTTGCGTGTTTCTTGGGTTCTTCTTGGGCCCCTCGTGGGAGCCTCGGACGTCGCCCTGCGCAGGACCCCCGTGCGCAGGACGTCGCCCATGCAGAGGGGCGCAGCGGAGCGTTGACGATGGTGCGCCACCGCCGCACGGGGAGTGCATGGGCGAGGCCACGCCCCGCGCGGGGGCGCCGTGCCGCGGGACCCCCAAGGGGGGCGCGCCAAAACGACCGCGGCATGCCAGCACAGGGGACCCGGGCCCCCTCGAGCACTGAATCAATCACGACAGGAGGTTTCGTGCCGTTTTCGGCCCCTGGGGGCCGCTGCCGGGCCTCGGGACCGTCAACAAGACGACTCGGGATAAGAAACCGCTCCTGGGGAAGGGGGGTCCAGACTTCTGGGGGTGGACGCAATGAAAGAATTATCACCCTGGGGTCTGGGGAGGGCGAGGTCCCGTCGAGACATCGGCGCATTTTTCTCTCCAAATGCGTTCCCCGGATCGACGCGTCAAGAGCTGATCCACCGACAGCCCCCCCCCCCTGTGCCCTCTGCCGCCGTCAAACGATATGCACGGCCTACTGTGTGTCCGCATGGCTTCCTCTGCTGGCTTCCTCCGACCCGTACAGGGCAGCTTTGAATACATAGGATTAAAACATATAAGATGTTTAATACATGATTAATGTATGAATGAATGTATGCATGAACTCATCGTTGTTTTAAAAGCAAAATCCCTGCATGTTTAATACATGATCCGCACGCGGAGCATGCATTAAAAACGGCACTGTATGTCCGTATGGCTTCATCCTATTCGTATGGCTTCCTCCTATCCGCGCGGATTCCTCCTATCCACATGGCTTCATTCGATGCGCATGGTTCTTACGGTGGCGTCCCAACAGTCGTCCAACAATCGCCACGCTCAGAAGTAGAGTAGAGTAGAGTAGAGTAGAGTAGAGCACAGCAGAGAAAAGTAGATCAATCCAGCAGAACAGTCAAGGATCAGAAAGTACAGTAGAGCAGCGCATTGAGGGTATAATAGTTTAGAGCAGAGTAGGGTAGAGTAGAACATAGCGGAGTGGAGTAGGGTAGGAGTAGGTGCCATAGAGTAGGGTAGAGCAGAGTAGAGTAGATGGTAGAGTAGAGCCGACCACGGCGTAACGTTCTGGAGTAGAGTAGAGCAGAGTAGAGCTGAGGTTACGGAGTCCTGACCAATTAAGACTTAACATGTGAGCACTTCTGGAGACCGCTCTATACATTTGGCCAAGGAGCAAAGCATAGGTGCACGCCAATAGTCGCCATCGCAGATCGAACTACCCGTGCTGAACTTCAAAACTCTTGATTTCAGAGGCGCGCCTTTTTAGGATGCATGGTTGTGATTGGAGATCACCGATCGTCTCACGCATGAGCACTCGAAATGGGTCGATCCGGGCGTTGCGACATGCATGCCGCATGCTGTCATCATTTCAACCCTCTTCCTCCTTCTGCCCCCTGTCTTCAGCTTCCCCATGCTCGCTGCCCTCGCCCTCGTGTTCGTCCTCGCCTTCCGCGCCCTCGTCCTCCTCCCCCCTCCCACTCCTCCCCCAGTTCTTCCCCCTATCCCTCCCTCTCTCCCCCTGCCGAAGCAGGAGGGAACGGGAGCAAGAACGGAGGCGGGAGGTTTTGTTGGACCTCCCGCGCTTGAGCCCCCCGAGGGTCGTCGCGTCCTGAAAACGATCCGGTCGCCCGCTGAAATATCACCCGACGGCGGCGACGGTTGCGCGACACTGGCAGAGCCCCAGGAGAGGCGACGAGAAAAACGGTAGGCGGGGGGGGGGAGGAAAGAGAAAGAGAGAGAGAGAGAAAACAAAGGAAACAAACAAGAGAAAGGAAGAGAGAGAGAGAGAGAGAGAAAGAGAGAGAGAGAGAAAGATAATAGATAAAGATAGAGGAAGAGAGAAACATAGAGGAAGACAGAACATGAGGGAGAACGAGATAACGAGAGATGAAGAGAAACAGATAGAGAAACATAGAGAGAACAACAAGCATTAACAACTAATGATAGAGAATGAGAGAGATAGACGAGAGAGGAGGAAACGAAAAGAGAGACAAGAGAGGAGGAAACGAAGAGGAAAGAGGAAGCCAAGAGAGCGAGAGGGAAGGGAGCGGAATAAGTAATGACAGGAGAGGAGCAGCAGCGCTCCGATCAAAACGGGGACACAGACCAAGAGGGCAAGGGAGAACAGAAACCCAATTACAACGATTGTGCTTGTTTGACTGATTTGGGGGCGCTGGGTAGTTTTGCCCCCCCCCCTGGCTTGCTGGCAGCCATGCCCTTCTTCGCTGGAGCACCTGAAGAACCCGTCCACCGTCTTGAAGGGATGGAAGGCTGGGAAGCTCGCCGTGCAGTCGACGACCCGCCCAGGACAGTATCCGTCCGCCAGGAGGTCGGGGTTGTCTCGGGGCGCCACGCCGAGAAGGTCGAGGCATTTCTGCATGAAGTTGTCCTCGCCGAGCTGCCTCCCCTTCAGCGCTTCAACGCAGCGCTTCCACCCGGCGTGGTAGACCGCCAGCCCCGTCTTCGAGACGACTTCGAGAGCGCCAAACATCCCGAGGCCACGTGGGCCGCCCGGGCAGTTGCGCACGTACATCTCGTCTGCCCCGTAAGGCAGCAGAGACTCGCGGAGTCGGTTCGGGAAGAAGACGGTGTCTGGATCGACCTTCCTCCTCCTCCAACTCTGTCCGCCAGCCCGCCCGCCTTCCCTGCCTCCCTCTCCCCCCCCTCCCCCTCCCCCTCCCCGTCCGCCTCGCTCTCCCTCCTCATCTTCAAAATTCCCCTTCCCCTCCTCCCCAGACCTCCGACGGCGCGACTTCTTCTTCGCAACGCAGCCCTCCTGAGGTCTGGACCCCTCCAGGGGATCAGCTTTTCAGTCGTTTCGTGATGGTCCTGGGGACCAGCAAGGGGCCCGAAGCTAAGACTTGCCAAACAACTGTCCGCCGCGTTGCCTTCATAACGCGATTGGGTCTGGGCTCCCATCCTCCTCATGTGAGGGGCAACGCTAGGGGGGGTGACCAGCTCTGGAGGGGAACATCGAGCAGGACGCGGCGATACATCGCGGGTAGATCCGCGATAGGCCACCGATAGCGAAACCGCACGTTCCTGGGCAGGGCGGGCTATCGGGCACCTGCAGGCGATGAGTGGACGATGGGGGGTCGATGCACCCACCGCCTGAGCCCCGCCCAACGTGTCCCCCGATGGACTCCCCTCCTCCTCCTCCTCCTCCTCCTCCTCCTCCTCCTCCTCCTCCTCCTCCATTCCTTTTACTCCTCAGTAACTTCTCCCTGTCGCACCCCGAGGCCAGTTCTTGGGGCGGGCGGGGCGTTTCGCATGAGACTTCCTCACCATGATCCTGAAGCTTAAACATTCGCATCAGCTTCACAGATGGAGGGCGGGTCGTTTTCAAAATGTGGCTCTCGCCCAAGCGCCGCGCCACATTCGAGTTAACAAATTTAATTGCAAGAGCTTCACGGGTTGAGGGCGACTGGTTTTCAAAATGTGGTTCTCGCCTTAGCGCCGCGCACATTCGTTTTGCCATGTGCAAGGGTCTCACGTTGGCTCTCGCCTTAGCGTCGCGCACATTCGTGTGTAAGATGTGCATGACTTTCACGGATTGAAGGCGGTTCCTGTTCAAAATGTGGCTCTCGCCTTAGCGCCGCGCACACTCGCGTTTAAAATGTGCAAGACTTTCACGGTTTCCCACGATCAGCGTACCAGAAATGGCGTTTGGGAAGGATTCAGGATTATGAGGGCGCAAAAGTTACGTTGATTCGAAGTGTTGAAGTCCCAGGAATAACGGTCTGGCACGATTCAGGGTCATCAAGACGCAACAGTCAAGTTGATTTGTGGCGTTGGAATCCCAAGAACCATGTTCTAGCATGCTTCAGGGTCCTCAAACGTTTGTCTTCCAACGAGGCAGTTCCCTCAGTGGGAATGAACCGTTGCAGGGGCCTGTGAATAGAGAGAGCTTGGAGGGAGGGCTTATTCCAACATCGTTGACGACTCTTGGGCTTGCTCCTCCTCCTCCTCCTCCTCCTCCTCCTCCTCCTCCCTGTGACCCGCCTTCACGGTCCACTGATGGTTCCAGGCCAACGGCAGGCCCATGATCTGCCGCCACACCCGGAGGAACAGCTCCGTGTTGACGTAACCCGCGGTCTCTGCGCCGGCCACGTGGTCGGGCGAGCCGAGCGGCACCGGCAGGGTGTACGCTCCCAGACCACCAGCGTCGCGAACGAGTCAAGACCCTGGAAGTGCTGGAGCTCTGGAGCGGCAGCATCGCCGTGGACTGGCAGCAGACGCTGCCGCTCCCCTCCCCGCTGACTCTCTGAACCCCTCCCCCCCAAGAGCCCTTTCGGCCTTGTTGGGCGAAGACGGCCAGCAGCTCGACTCGGCGCATGCCTCCCAAACCAACAAATGGCACGACCATATGGTGGGCGTGTTTTCCACCGCCAACACCATAAGTAGGAGGGGGAGGTTGTCCTCCTCCTCCTCCTCCTCCTCCTCCTCCAACTCATGATGGTGGGCGTGTTTCCCACAGACCCCACCATAAGTAGGAGGGGGAGGTTGTCCTCCTCCTCCTCCTCCTCCTCCTCCTCCTCGTCCTCCTCCTCCTCCTCCTCCCCCTCGTCCTCCTCCCCCTCCCCCCCTCCAACTCATCGTGGCGACGGTGGAAGACAGGCCTGTCAACACGAGCCCTCGCAGGCCCGCGCGCGCCTCTCGGGTCGGCGCCGGGCCCCCCCTCCCCTTCGCGCCCCTTTCCTGGACCTGGGCGCGCGGAGTGTGCCCTCAGGGCGGCGCCGGGGGCGCCGACCATCGGGAGCGGAAAAGAGGGGGGCGTCCAAGAGGGGGGGGTGCAAATCATGACCGGCGACATGTGCGCGGCCCAGCGGGGGGGCCAGGGATGCAATAAGATAAGCGGAGGCGCCATGAAATCTGGGGAAAAATCATGGCCCGCGCCATGATATCCACCCCCCTCTAGTCATCACCCCCCTCTTTTCCGCCCCCGAGACCAGGGGTCGGGGATCTTCTGACCCGGGTCAATCCAGACCTGGGTCAGCCAGGGCTTGCAGAATCCTGCAAGATCCTGCAAAACCCTGCGCCCAAACCCGGGTCCATGCGCAGGATCCTGCAGGATCCCGCAGGATCCTGCACCCATGCCCGGGTCAATGCGACCCTGTCCCTGCAGGATCCTGCAAGATCCAGCGCTCTGGCTGACCCCCATTTACACTGACCCCCGTCTGAAGGTTCCCGAAGGTGTGCGGAAAAATGGGCACAACGCCCAACAACAAATTTGTTGTCCCACACCAACAGCGGCCGCTGTTGGGCAGGCGGGGTTCTGTCTCAAATGGACACAGGCCGCGGCGGCACCTTTCAGCGAGTCCTGTTCAAAATGAAGAGGAACTACTGTTGGGCATTGTACCCATTCTTTCCGTACTGCAGGTCCGTGCCGTGTCGACCCTGGCGCTGGTTCCTGACACCTCGCTGGATCGTTCAACCTTGAACGATCGGCCGTCTCCGCCACGTCCGATCGTTCAACATCGACCGATTCTGGGCCGCCGCATGCGTTCGACGTTGAACGTCGGCGGCGGGGTCGCCGCCGGTCGACACGACGCGAACCTACCGTACCCATATCGGGCGTCCAGACTTAGGGCGACGCCGGAGGCGCCGACCGCGAGGAGGGGGAGGAGGGGGAGGAGGGGGAGGAGGGGGAGGAGGAGGAGGAGGAGGAGGAGGAGGAGGAGGAGGAGGAGGAGGAGAGGAGGAGGAGGAGGAGGGGGGGGAGGAGGAGGAGGGGGGAGAAGGAGGGAGGAGGAGAAGGAGAAGGAGGAGGAGGAGAGGAGGAGGAGGAGGAGGAGGAGGAGGAGGAGGAGGAGGAGGAGGTGCTCGGGTCGCGCCTCCGCCGGGTTGCCAGGGGGGGCCCCTGCTGGCCCGATTCTCGGCGTCGGGCAGCCACGGGGGTGGAGGGTCGAGAGAGAGCCCCGCGTCGTGGAGAGGTCACGAAAGCATCACGACGGGAGGCGTCTCCTCCTCCTCCTCCTCCTCCTCCTCCTCCTCGCCCCCTGGGCCGGAATCGGGCTTCGGTTCCCAATGTAATTATTCACTGCGTGGGGATCCCCATATGTGCATCTCCTTGCTGGCGCTCCCTTGGTGGTGGGACTCGGTGAGGACGAATCTGGATTAAAGTGTGACTGAGCTGCCTCTCTCTCTGCTCTCTCTGCTCTCTCTGTCTCTCTCTCTCTCTCTGCCCTCTCTCTGTCTCTGCCTCTCTTTCCCTGCCTCTCTCTCTCTCTGCCTCTCTCTCTGCCTCTGTCTCTCTGCCTCTCTCTCTCTCTGCCTCTCTCTCTGTGCCTCTCTCTCTCTGCCTCTATCTCTGCCTCTCTCTCTCTCTCTCTCCTCTCTCTCTTCTCTCTATTCTCTCTCTGCTCTCTCCTCTCTCTCTCACTCTCCCTCTCTCTCTCTCTCGCTCTCTCTCTTCTCTTCTCTTCTCTTCTCTTCTCTTCTCTATCTCTCTCTCTCTCTCTCTCTCTCTCTCTCTCTCTCTCTCTCTCTATCTCTCTCTCTCTCTTCTCTCTCTCTCTCTCGCTCTCTCGCTCTCTCTTGCTCTCTCTCGCTCTCTGTCGCTCTCTCTCGCTCTCTCTCTCTCTCTCTCTCGCTCTCACTCGCTCTCTCTCGCTCTCTCTCGCTCTCCCTCGCTCTCTCCCGCTCTCTCTCTCTCTCTCTGCTCTCTCTCTCTCTCTCGCTCTCTCGCTCTCTCTCTCTCTCTCTCTCTCTCTCTCTCTCTCTCTCTCTCTCTCTCTCTCTCTCTCTCTCTCTCTCTCTCTCTCTCTCTCTCCCCCCCCCTCTCTCTCCACTTTCTCTCTCTCTCTCTCTCCTCTCTCTCTCTCTCTCTCTCTCTCTATCTCTATCTCTCTCTCTCTCTCTCTTCTCTCTTCTCTCTCTCTCTCTCTCTCTCTCTCTCTCTTCTCTCTCTCTCGCCTGTCTCCTCTCTCAACTCCCCCTCTCTCTCTCTCTCTCTCTCTCTCTCTCCGCTCTCTCTCTCTCTCTCTCTCTCTCCTCTCCCTCTCTCTCGCTTCCTCTCTCTCTCTCTCTCTCTCTTGCTCTCTCTCTCTCTCTCTCTCTCTCTCTCTCTCTCTCTCTCTCTCGTCACGGGCTCGTGAGATCAGCCAGGGTGGCTCCCCCTTGGGGCTCCCAAATGATGCCCCTGGCAGCGTTTTGTGACCATGAGGCTCTCAAGAGATACATGTTGGGGAGGCCAAACGGCAATTCTAGCTGAGGCGTCCCACCAAAATCGGCGCGAACGGGCTCGTGAGATCAGCCAGGGTGGCTCCCCCTTGGGGCTCCCAAATGATGCCCCTGGCAGCGTTTTGTGACCATGAGGCTCTCAAGAGATACATGTTGGGGGCGCCAAACGGCAATTCTAGCTGAGACGTCCCACCAAAATCGGCGCGAACGGGCTCGTGAGATCAGCCAGGGTGGCTCCCCCTTGGGGCTCCCAAATGATGCCCCTGGCAGCGTTTTGTGACCATGAGGCTCTCAAGAGATACATGTTGGGGGCGCCAAACGGCAATTCTAGCTGAGACGTCCCACCAAAATCGGCGCGAACGGGCTCGTGAGATCAGCCAGGGTGGCTCCCCCTTGGGGCTCCCAAATGATGCCCCTGGCAGCGTTTTGTGACCATGAGGCTCTCAAGAGATACATGTTGGGGGCGCCAAACGGCAATTCTAGCTGAGACGTCCCACCAAAATCGGCGCGAACGGGCTCGTGAGATCAGCCAGGGTGGCTCCCCCTTGGGGCTCCCAAATGATGCCCCTGGCAGCGTTTTGTGACCATGAGGCTCTCAAGAGATACATGTTGGGGGGCCAAACGGCAATTCTAGCTGAGACGTCCCACCAAAATCGGCGCGAACGGGCTCGTGAGATCAGCCAGGGTGGCTCCCCCTTGGGGCTCCCAAATGATGCCCCTGGCAGCGTTTTGTGATCATGAGAGAGTGTGAGTGTGAGCTTAACTTATCTTATCTTATCTTGAAATCTCTTCTTATCATATCTTGTGCTATCTTATCTTATCTTGTGGTATCTTATCTTGTCTTGTCTTATCTGGTGATTATCATTGGGAGGAGGGAGGCGCGAGCGGGAGGAAGAAGGAGGAGGAGGAGTGGGAGGCGTCAGAGTAATAACAAGAACCCCAATCCTTAGGATATGGGGAAAAATTTGAAAGAGAGGACCCCGCGTCGTGAAGAGGTCACGAAAGCATCACGACGGGAGGCGTGTCGCTAGTTGGGGCCTCGGGGGACCCTAACCCGGGCCTCGGGGCCGTGAAAGGACGACTCGGAATGAAAAGCCGCTCCTGGGGAAGGGCTCGATACGTCCGGGGGCATGAAAAAAAGTCACGACGTCGGAGGTCTGGGGGCAGCCCAAACCACAGGGGTAGAGGTAATCCAGCCTCCCTTTGGGGAGGAAAGGGGGGGCGGGAGCCAGAAATGGAAGAAGGGCCCCTCCTGCTCCTCCTCCTCCTCCTCCTCCTCCTCCTCCTGCTCCTACTCCTCCTCCTCCTTCTCCTCCTCCTTCTCCTCCTTCTCCTCCTCCTCCTCCTCCTTCTCCTCCTTCTCCTCCTCACTTTGCTCCGCTTCTCTGTTCCCTTCCCCTTCTCCTCCTCCTCCTCCTCCTCCTCCTCCTCATTTTCTTCCTCACCATCATCATCATGATAATCAGCAACAGCAGCATCATCATCATCACCACCACCACCACCACCACCACCACCACCACCTCCGACATCATCATCAGCATACTCATCATCATCATCATCACCATCATCATCATCATCATCATCAGCATCAGCATCAGCATCAGCATCAGCATCAGCATCATCATCCTCATCATCATCATCATCATCATCGGCATCAGCATCAGCATCATCATCATCGTCATCATCGTCGTCATCATCGGCAGCATCATCATCATCACCACAATCAACATCATCATCATCGTCATCATCATCACCGCCATCTTTATCACCATCACCATCACCATCAACATCATCATCATGATCAGCATCAGTATCAGCAGCATCCTCATCATCATCAGAATCAGCATCATCATCACCATCATCATCATGCGCATCATCATAATTACCATTGCAATCACCAGAATCATTATCATCATTGCCATGATCAGCATCATCATCAGCATCATCACAATCATGATCATCATCGTCGTCATCATCGAAGTCATACGCATACAAACATCATCATCGTCGTCGTCATCATCATAACCATCATAGGCATAAGCATCAACATCGTCCTCACCTTAATCATCAATACCATCGTCATCCTCATCATCCTCATCGTCATCGGCATCGACACCGTCATCGTCATCCTCATCATCATCATCAACAGCAGCAGCATCACCATCACCATCGTCAACACCCTCGTCATCATCAA